GTTCTGTTGACCCGTGCGCAAGCTGCGCGATTCTCGTCCCGGGGACACCGTGGCCATGGTCACCAAGATCCGCAGGGGCACCGCCATGCCATGGCCGTCGACCTCTGCGCGAGGGTTGCCGCCATGGCTGTCAGGGCACTGCCATGTCTAAGGTTTGTCGAGCTCGCTTGGTTAAGGGACAAGACAAAGGCAACATCAAGGGACATCGTCTGAGCTAGACACTAGACATCAAAATGCCTAGGAACACTATATGCCAATAGTTTGAAATGAAAACACGAATAAAACCTCCGGTTCAAGATGACAAGACGAAAGATTCATATCCAGGCCCTCCATCCTACAAGGAATGCCAACCACAAGTTTGACCAAACTAGCATGGAACTGCTGCTAGGTAGCACCACACCACCTTGGTGGCGCACTTCTCTATTTTCCTCGGATATACCATCATATTTAAGCACCATGATATTTGAGCACCACACCACCCGTCATCGACTTGTTCCAGCAAACAACGTACACATGGTTGCAGCAAACGACGTCATCGGTTCCAGCTCCTCTCTATTGCACGCGTACGGTCATCGCCATCGTAGCTCATGGGCACTGCGCATGGAGCTCGCCGGCCGCTCGTGAGGAAGCTTAAGGGAGGAGACAGTAGCAAGTGATGGCGCACGGTGTCGTTGGACGGAGCGCGCTTAGCATTGTAGCTCCTTGGCGGCACAGCCATGGAGCGATGAGTTGAGCACCAAAGAGAGAAGAATCGAGGAAGAGGAAGACGTTTGGATGCGGCTGGTCAAGAGAGGATAAGGCCCAGAGGAGGTCTCTCCCAGGCCCAGCATGTGGTGCACTGTTGGATCAGGTTTGATCCTCCGGTGAGGCTGATAGGAATCAATTACCATTAATGAAAGGATAACTGATGTGCTCACCAACCTTCCTCGGGCTAAGAATGACCAGCACTTACAAAAGGGGAGGCCGTGTGTCTGAAATCTACTTCTTGTAAGCTCTAAAAATGTCATCAGTATAGTAGTAGTTGTCAAAAAAAAATACGAACGCGGTTGGATCATTGTTATCTCGAGGGAGAGAACACAGTGACAATAAATCGTGGGTTGGATTGATGCAAAATCCATTATGAAATACGAATGGGAGGCATATGTGAAGGCATTGTCTCGGAGAATCACATAGAATGTAGGTCCAAGCCAGGCAATTGTATTTCCGGGTAGGAAAGGCACCCTCGAGAAATGCAGACTCGTGGAGAAGACAAGGAAGCAATACAGATCTGCCTTGGGGGCAGCCACTGGAGGCGAGACGAACAGACATGAACAGGTAGACGAACAGGCCGGGCCAAGAGATAGAGTAGGAGAGGACGGGCTCCGTGGAATCACCGCAGTCCGCAGAATCATTGGTCCTGGAATCGCCGTACCGCGCTTGGGCAACGGCAAAGACTAAGAGAAACGCTCGCTTGTCTAGAAAGCAGATCACACGATTCTCAAAATCATAAAATTAATCAGATCCCCCTGCAGCAAACACCCGAGCACCAACCAGCACAATCTACAATGCCCTCTTTGTTAGAGTTAATCTTGATTCCTTGTATCTGCATGTTTGAGTTTTGCCTATAGTTTGGTCTAGGAGTAGAGTCCTGCTAAGTTTCAGCGAAGGTGTGACGAGGAGGCGAGATGCCACGTTGCCGTGTGATGCGGTGAGTATGGCGAGATGCCGAGGCGGTGTGAAGCGGTGGCGCTGCGTGAAGTGGCAAGTCGTGCAAGGGGCTGGAGCGTGACAGGTTGAGCCGGGTGATCCGGTACGCTCTTGTCCGGTTGTTAGATGCATGCGTACGGATGCTAGCCATGTGACTTGGTTGGTTTGTTAGCCCGCATGACTGGCTGGGTGGCTGTTGGAAGCCTGGCGGAAGTGCTGGACGTACGTGCATGTAGATAGATATCTGTTAGTTGCATGCATGAGCCGTTAGCTACACAGCTCCATCTTGTTGACCTTGGAGATGTAGTGTGTGGAGTTTGTTGGGTTAGTGGCGTAGTAGATGGATTAGTGGGTTAGTGGCCGAGAGGGCTGGGCAAAAATGTAGTGTTTGTGTCACCAAGGAGGAGAGCTCTTGGCAAAGCTGTGCTGGTTTCTTCCTTGGCGTGTGCGTGTGTATGTGTTGAGTCTTCCCACGGTGAGTGTGTTCTTGTGTGTTTGAGAGAAACAAAGAGAGAAGGTTGAGCTGTGAGAGACAACCATGAGGTAGAAGAAAAGCGGCGCTGCAAGGAGGCGGCACCAACACTCTTTCCATTTCAAAATAATAATAATAATACAACGCCCTCTTCTTTCCACAGCAGTACAATCTACAACTTGGCAACAGAACACCAGTGGACAAATGAAATATCCGAAAGAATTTGTACAAAGGAGATCAAGGGTGTGTTTAGTTTTTGCCTCACAACAGAACACTGGTGGACAAGTTATTGGTCTCTTATAAGCGGAAACATTTCCAAGAAAATGAATTGGCAAAAGAGTATTGATACAACCGAACAAACAAAAACCAATTGTTCATCTGTGTCACAAGCATTGTTGCCCGGTCATATTTTCTTGTCGTCCTTACCTTGTTTTCATCGATAGTTGCAAAACAAACTTGAAAGTAGTCTCAAAATCTCACAAAGGCCGTAGTTGGGATCAAAATTCCAAAGCTAGCTGCAATGATATATTGTCTGAAACACAGAGTGACATGCATTTGTAGCAAAATTTGGCACAGCCGATTCAGAATTGTGCACAAGAGCAAGCAGTTTGCTGGTCCTCAGATGTTAAAACGCCTCTAAAACCTACATGCCAGTACTAGTTTCAACAGACAGCCTCGCATTCCGCAACTGCAACATTCAAGATGACATGACAAGACTGATTTGCGACCCCCACCCTATCATCACCTAGTTAGTCAACTCCATGATGGCGCTGACAATGTCACCATCTGCAGCCTTGAGCGCCTTCACAGCCCTGGACCTCGACACGGGGGCCTGTGCCATCACGAGCTCGACGTCCTTCTTGTCAATGCCCGTCTCGTCTACCACCTCGTCGTCTTGGGCTTCTGCCACGGACTGCTCACCCTTTGAGATGATGCTGCTTGGTACCGACGCCTTGGACTGCTCCGCCGCTTCTGTCAGCAGCTGAGCGTCCATGTCCTCCATCTTGACAACCCCGAACATGACATAGGTTTCTGACTGCGAGCTCTTGAAGACGTCTGGCTTCAAGAGAACAAACGTAGCCTGCAATATTATTGAGGGATGTTACGAAAATGCGACAACCACCAGCATGTAATTATGCTACAGGGAACAATGGCTGAAGTGGTTCAGATGCTCACGGTCTTGCTCTGCTTGATAGTTACACGGCTCACACCAGTAATGGCCTTCATGCCAAGCCTCTCCATGGCTTTCCTGCACTTCTTCTCACTCCTAGATCTTGCACTAGCATCACCTCCTAGTGCCAGAAAGCACAGGCACATAATGTCAGATTTTCAAATTTTTGCATAACCCCAGAATTTTACAACTAGACATAGTTCACTTTGTGAATTATTATCGGTGATCGTTGGAAATGGAAAGTGTAACATTCATACAACACTTGAACTTTTCTCAAGCACGATTGAACAAAAACTGTGACTGCAATCAAGTCTTCTTGGTATCCATTGTCGATTTTGGAATTTTGAACAAGATCTTAGTTTTGGCACTTTGGGTAAGGTACAAAGGATTAGCTATTCATATAATGGAAATCCCACTATCAGTTCATACTAAATGCATTGAAATGATTCACCTACCAAAATTATACTTGCAAAACCAAGATTTTACATTCAGGATTTGTTCCTATCAGACTAAATGCTATAGCTGAACATTCATGTATATGTTAATGCAAGTTGAAACTGAAACAAGGTGCCACCTTACAGAGGTGAATATTATATACAAATGGCAGGAAGTACTCAAGAAAATATAGTATCTGTAAATAAGCAGTGCTGAATAATTGAGGAATGAGTAAATATGATACAGTTCCAAAAAAGTGAGAATATAGACCACAAAGGCATATCGATGGTTCATAAAGAACAGAACGTTAGAACAGGAACAAACTGGTCGGTTCCTAATTTTCAAATAAAAAACAGGTCAAAGTGAACCAAAATAGGTAAATATAGAGTTTGTATCATTGAGGAACAGATCAGATAACAATTTATAAATTAGAATTTTGATGTGGCCATTAACTTCAGATCTCAAAATTTATGTTAGAACTAGGCAGCATTACGATAAGAAATAGGCTTATCTGTAACTAAGTGGCTACTTGAACTGAATAGAAGGAACTACAGAATTTGAACATATCCTCAACATCATCGTCATCTTTTTCATCCTCATCCTCATCATCGTATTCATCGTCGTTATCATCATCCTGAAGGATAGGCTCGTCTTCCTGAGAGTATGCATTCCAAATATCATATTACTTGATGGTCATAAGTATTAAACACTAAACAGCGCTGCCTCAGAACAGGGGATATGCAGAGGAGGGAAAACAGAGTTATCTTCCCAGCATGAAGATGTGAGTACATACTAAGTAGCATTAGCACAAGATAAAAGCAAAAGAAAGGAAGAGTATGTACATTACAAGGAACTGTTGTCTGCATTGACGACAGAAGGTATGCTCACACATTTATATTATATTGTTAGTACAGGAATTGCAAGGAACTACTCTCTGCTTTGACAACAGAAGGTATACTCACATATTTATAGTGTTGGTACAGGAAAAATGCCATAAAGCATATAAGCATACACACGAGATACTTAGTTTACTAACCGACTTCCAAAGCTAATTACAAACAAGTAAGGCCCCATTTATAATCTAGCAATCACCAAAGGTGGATACTTTCATCTATGCTTGCTCAAAATTCCTTTCAGATTTGTATCCACAAGACAAAGCAGTAGCATTTCAGTTTGCAACACTGGAGATTGCTATGAAAGGGAACCACAAACTGCACGTAGTTAGGAAAACTGGCTTACTGGCAAACAAGTGAAGAACCACAATGGTTGGGACCAGAAGGATCAAATTTTGGGCCTGAAAATTAAACTCCCAGCTGAACAAGCGAGCATGAATCCCGTACACGCTACCACACCCTCAGGTGGAGGTTACAGATACAGAGTTCTCCACCCAGAGAGAGCTCTGCGACCTAGGCGACATTGACAGACGAGATCTAGCGCTGTAAAATCACCACCACCACCGCAACGGAACACGCCGATCCAGGGGCCGAACGAGCAAGAACGGCGAACCTTTTTTTTTCTTTAAAAATGTGAGGCGAAGATTTTTCAGTCTGACAGGGCACCAAATCGGAGAGGGGGAGGCGGAGGGGTCGGAATGGAGGATCACCTCGATGTTGTGCTCCTCGAGCTGGGCGCGGAGCAGCTCGGCGGCCGTCATGGTGGCGCACGTCGCCGGTGAAACCTTGTCGGAGTTGGAGGGGAAAGTAGAACCCTAGCTAGGCTAGGAGGGAGGGGCTTGGGAGCGGGAGAGCAGAGCAGAGGGCCAAGAGAGACTGCGACGGGAAACAAAGAGACCCGCTTGACCCGCTTGTGTTGGTCAACACTGGGCGTGGACCGTGCTGTTCGGCCCAGAGCGTCCACAACTGATTTGGACCCGTTTTCTTGGCCCATCTTGCAATCTAGCAATTGCATTGCATTGTACTAACTCTTTTATTACCTAGCAGTTTTAGGATTCCTCAAAAAAAAAACCTAGCAGTTTTAGGAAGGGAAACGATATTCGAAAAAAGCAGTTTTGGGAAACAAAACATAGTCAGGTCTTCTGTGGTTCATAGGATAGGAATTTTATAGGAATAGGAAAATCATAGGAAGTGAGATGACATGCATGTCAATTTCTATAGAGAAAGAGATGTCATTTGGTGCATAGGATAGGATTTTTTCCATTGAGTCTAGGCGAATGTTTTTTTCCTCCAAAACGTGAAGGATTGATTCCTATCCTACATAGGAATGGGAATCCATTCCTACAAACCAAAGGGCTTCAAAGGAATTTTTCCTTTGCAAATCCTATCCTATAGAATTCCTACAAAAATCCTACAAACCAAAGGAGGCCTCAATATTTTCCCTGGCGACTAAACAGGGTTTCACCTATCGTCGTGCGGTGCTAGCCACCATGAGTTTGTTGGTAACGATTGCTCGTGGAGTACTAGTGATTTTCTCCTGCTGCTCCCGCCTGGACTCTTCGGCGTCAGTGTCCATGGCACCTTCGTGGAAGGCCGACCATGGCGCACGCACAAGGAAGGAAGATGTTGACGATCTGCTACAGCGTCTAGCGCTGCATGAAGATGAAGGGGACGATTTTCCTCTGGGAGGATGAAGTAGAGATACCAGATGTCCAGACTAAGTGCTTGGCAATAGCTAAGGTTCATACCAGCAAAGGGTTTAGGACCTATTTGGAACGTGGGTTCAGAAAGCAAAGGAATAGAAAAATGCATAGGGATGGAATGGAGTGCAAAGTGAAACCTACAGGGTCCAAAAGCAGAGGAATGGGAATCTATGGGGTGTTCGGGACAAAGGAAAAGGTTTGAACCTGCACACTTGTCCAGGAAACAAAAATAGCCGTTATGTGGCTAGGCATTGCATTCTTGCCGTTGATGTATCTAGCCGTTGCTTCTTTCTATTGCTATATAAGCACAGACAATGCACCTGCCAGCAACTTGCTTCTCATCTCTTCTCCTCTCCTGCAAGCACTACTCAGGAATATACATTTCATTCTAGTAGCAGCAATCCATTCATTCCTGGAGTCAATGGATCCAAACTACAGCTAGGGTCAAGAAACGAAGATGAATTTGTACTTTTTGTACTCCCTACACTAGAAGGTAGCTCATCCCAGTCATCTGAAAGGAGAGCAATACATACACCCATCCTCAATGGAGCTACTTATGTGCATGAAGCGCTTACCAGCCATGAAGTTCTATGTGAATGGTGTTTTCATATGGAGAGAGATATCTTTCAAGCTTTAATACAAAAACTCTGTGAAAAGCACCTTCTCAAGGATGCAACGTATATTTCTGTGGAAGAGCAAGTAGCCATATTTTTATATGCAGTATCAAAGAATGCAACCAACAGAACATTGCAAGACAGATTCCAGCATGGTGCAGATTCAATTAGTACTTACTTCCATGTCGTGCTCAATGCGATTACGCAGCTCACATGCATCTACATACAACCTTCTGTACACCAGCATCGTATATTAAGTAACCCGAAGTTTTTGTACTTTAAGGTATGTTTTCAAGTCCTATCATGGTGAATAGGTATTGAGTAAATTTAACTTGTATGTATATATCTAACTGTAGAATTAAATCTGCAGAATTGTATTGGAGCTATTGATGGTACTCACTTTCCAATGACTATTCCGCCTGGGCAACAAGATCCATATATAAATAGAAAGCAAGGTCTTTCACAAAACGTAATGGTTGCATGTGACTTTGACATGAAGTTTGTGCATGTACATGTTGGATGGGAGGGATCTGCATCAGATGCAAGGGTTCTACGAGATGCACTTGAGCATGGATTCAATGTACCTCCTGGAAAATTTTATCTAGTAGATGCGGGGTATGAAAATACACCCCAATTCATTTCCCCATACCGAGGAACTAGATATCATTTACAAGAACAAGGAAGACAAAGGCCACAATGCTACAAGGAGTTATTTAACCTTCGACATGCTCAGCTACGAAATCATGTCGAAAGAATTATTGGCATATTGAAAGCAAGGTATCCCATACTAAAAGCAGCTACCATGTTTGATATTGACACACAAGTTGATACTCTTGTAGCTTGTTGTGTATTGCACAATTTCATAAGGCTACACAATGGAGATATGACATTGCCCGACAGAGCTACAATGGATATTAATGAAAGCAATATGAAGGATGTACCAATGGAGATGCCAAATACAATACAGATGTGATGGTATTTAACAACTTGCGATATGTCGGAAATGAGATGCGAGATGCCATGGCTATGCAAATGTGGGAAGATTATATTGCTAGAAGATAAGCATATGTATTGTGTAATTTACTCTTATGTTACTTAATTATTTGGCTGTACTGTACTCCACTTAATATGATTATTTTAGTCAAACACTCCAGAAAGACATTGCTTTAAGAGCCATTAAACATTGCATTACCAGTCAAACGAGTTTCACACTTCCATACACATGTGCCCAGTAATGCACATGCACAAAATATACCACAGCCTACTACAACTATGCTTAGGAGCATAACCATGTGTCCAGAAATGCACATGTACAAAATATATCACACCCTACTACAAGTTACCTACGCAAGGATCATAACCATGTGCCCATAAATGTACATGCACAAAATATATTACAGTTCATGCTAGTCCTCCCCTAGTACGAAATACTAATTCCATTTGTTTAGGTATTCCGAAGTTTTCCAGTCAACCAACCCAACCGCAATTCATTACTTGAAAA